GAGATGATTATAAAAAAAAAAATGCTAATTCAATCTGTGAATAAATATATAATATATATACACATTATATTCTAACGTAGACTACAACTGAAAGGGCTTAATGAAGTGAGCCAGTTACGGTACCTTTTGTTTTCTTCACAGAGGTAGGATCCTCTTCAGACTATGAAGGTGGAAAGGATGATTAAATGTTTGCATTTTTAGTGTCGTATTGGCTGATGAAAAGTGTTCAGAAGAGACATTTAAAGAGTGATTGAAACACTTACAGGATCTCTAGCTCGCTTCCTGTTGCAGGTTGATTGATTATTCACAGGCATTGTTGAGTCAAAGACTGTTGGAACAGCATCCTCCCTTAAGACACAACTGGAGGCGCTCTGAAAGACAAAAAGGCGCTAATTCTCAATATTCTATGTGAAACGGGGATTTCCCATCGACTTACTACATTTTGGGCTTAAATATACAGTTGCACTGGGCATCATTTGGTACACAAATATTAAATTGAACAGCTGTTTAATAAAAATGTGACTGTTTCTGACCCACATCTTTGCATTAACAAACCCTCTAATGAAGCAAAGTGTTTTAGTTGCCGGTTTAAAGGAAGTTGGTGTCATTTTAAACCTAACCACATCAGCAATATATAGCAATAAAAACCTCCAACTTGTGTTATACATCGAGTTGCATGTGATTGCATTGCATTGATTAATGGCACAGATGTGTTTCTAACATTTGTCCCACCGTGTGCATGTACACAAGGAACATCAGAATCATTGTGTGTTTTAACCTTATAAGCTTCACAAAGATTGGCATCATTACTTGGCTTTTGTATTAAAGTGCATTAGATCGATCAGGTGTACCCTAATAAACTGGTAATGTTATGGAAATATATAGTATTTGCTCACTAGGAACAGCACTGGAGGTACTATAATAACAAAACAGGGGGCAAAATGAAAATTATTAGTATTATTATTACATTCACAAAGGGTAATGGGCAAGAGATTTGCTTCTTACCTGATGAGTGATCATAGAGGGCTCAAAGTGCTTTGCACACAGTCTGTACAGCTTATGCAGCTGCTCAGGAGGTTCTGACGCCAGATCTTGGCGATGACAGTTGTTCAACCATAGCTGGCATCTGAATAATCCAGGAGGAAAGGTGTCACAACCATAATATGCAAACTAATTAGTCCAAACGCTTGTGCATCAATATTCTGTACTCTCATATTAAATAATGACTCGACAAACAGTCACAAGCTCTTCAAAAGTTTGTGAAACGGTTTGCTTCAATTTAAGAACTGTTCATTGTGATGAACATGGGTGAGAGTGGTGACTCTCTGCACTCCTAAATGCCACCACTAAACTGTTCCCAGAGTAGAAGGTCTAAATGGTAAATATAGATAACTGACATGGCTGCTTGAGCTAGGCTACTTAATTGATCTAGTTTGTAACAGTATAACAAATGATTATTAATGTAGTAATATAGTGTTTGCAGACACTATATTACTACATTGGTCCAAACCACTGTACTGGCTAGTTTGAACTAAAACTGCCATTTGCTGTGGCTAGATTGCTAGGCTTCATCGCTGTGCAAATACAAGTTCAAATACATTTTTAGACAGACATAACATCCATACACAACTCTGTGAGAGACGTGCACGCTGTGGTTAAGCTTCAAGAGGTCAGAACTGCTACAATTACGTGGATTAGGTACAAACACACGATACAAATATATAATAAGAAAGAACAAAAGGTGTGACTGATTGCTAAAAAGCTTTCATGAGTCAAATGAGCTCTTTGCTTTCATTATTTCAACTTTCATAATAAAATTCCTTCTCTTTCTTTCAACTGATTTTATTATACATGCACAGAATAAAGGTGGGTGGATTTGCCCACAAGAAAATGAGATTTACGTCTCTCAATTTAACACGATATTGGGTGGGTGGCGGGTGCAAGATTAAAAAGACTACACAAAGCAAAAAGGAGGGGACAAAAAAAAGACACTCATTGCAGGGCTGGACGTGCAACACTCAGACTGTGATCTAGTAGTTTCTCCTGTGGCTTGGAGGTTACATTTCCTGTCCACGCGCTCACTACTGCGATACAGCCGGATAAAATGCAGCCGCCATTCAATCACGGCCCTTAAATCAATTCTTTAGTTTTTATGTAACATAACATCCCTATTGCACAATACTACAGCAATCGCAGAGCGAAAAAAAACAGCGAGTTGAGAGGTAACAGCGGGATAAAAGGGGGCGCTAGATTGCTACTTATTCATGGCGACATCACCTGTTAAAACTACGTTCATATAAGTTTCAATTGCTATTGTTCAGTGAGCTGTACATTAAAATGCAATGCAATTGATGCAGTTTGGAAGCCACAATAAGGCCAAATAGCTGTATCAATGGAGAGTATTTTAATTTAGCTAAGCTAATGTCAGCGCCTCTCGTAACGCTAGCACACTATCGAGGTGGTCGGTGTCGTGTGCCGATGGCAATTTAAATTACAGCACAAAAAAGTTTTAAACTATGTTTTCTCTTTGTTTGTGAAATAACTGGACGCAAATAGAAACAGATATCAGCCAAAATCGCACTTTGGTGTCGGTCTCCGAGCCGGAATGAGTGAGCGGAGTCTATTTCACACGGACTTTTCTTTCAAGAGTAACGTTAGTCTGCGCCATTTTCCACAGAGTTGTGTCACTGTTAGCCAACATGGTGTTAAGCTAGCGCCAGTGCTAACCGTGGACGGCTAACACATTCATTTTGCACGCTCAGAGGCTCGTTTTTAACCCACGTCTCAATGAAATAAGCACAGCTCTTACCGCTCTGGATCCAAGGGAAAGCTGAAAAGTGGAGGAGAGTTTTCGGATCCCCCTTGCTGATAATCACAGTTCGCTGCGGCGCAGCAGTCAGTCATTTTGGACTGCAATGTTGCTAGCTAGCGAGTTAGCTAGCTTTGCTGGCGGTTGCAAGCTGGCAAGCCTACTGTGAGCAAACCTGCTGGAGTCTACAGAGCCATGCCTTGGGCAAAACCTGCATCCGACACAGTTGAGTTTCAACGTTATTCTTCGCTTAATGTCTCTTTGGTAAACTAAGAACCTACTTATTCCATGCTTTTAAAAGTTGATGTTGCGTGGTGAGCAAAGAGTCGCCGAAAGCGTGTTATCCCATCAACCAGGAACTACACCGTGCAGTAGAAAATGTTAACCAGCAGAGGGCAGTATGTCACGGACGGGCCTGGCCAAAGAGTTTAACTGTCAAGATAGTTCACATCCTATTCCAGGCGTGCAAGTTCCTTAGAAATCCAGGGTACCCCGAAAGCCTTGACGAAAGCTTTGTCAACTGGTTTTGCTGGACTTTTTTGGAAATTTGGTAGTATGCACAACCAAAGCAAAGTACCAACTAAAAAACTCCTCGTAGGTATATCCATCCATGAATCATTGTGTCGTTATGAAAAGCTACACTCTTCTAGTGTGTATGTTTATGTAGGCAACCAATTTATGTCATTTACTCAAGAATTATAAAATGACAAAAGTACGCTCTTTACTTTTCTCAATTTTTGGTATTTTTTATTTTTTTTTGCCAAAATACTACAGTGACAAATCAATACATAAATGCCAGCGTATTAATGGTCTATATTGAAGCTCTTGTTTCGGCTGTTGAAGGAACGCCTTAACTTTGTGGTTCAATAGAAATACTTTTCACGGCAAATATAGTTAGGTATTCTTTATCATACCTGACATTACTCAAGCACAGTGGCGAGCCAGGCATTTTATACCTGGGCCTTCACTGCTGACCTGCAGCTGAAACACAGCTACGGTTATTATTTGTTTTGTGTAGAAATGAAGCTCAACACCTATAGATACACTAACTGCAGAGAATATGCCGAGACTGTGTCTCCTCTCTGACTGCTGCGCGAGGCTTCTGTGAGAGTACCCGCCTGTGTGTGCTTTGGGGCGGCGGAGCGGCTCACAGCAGCACCCGCTGCTCGTTCACCACAGTGCAGAACGTACGAGCTTTAACGTCAGAGTCACAACACCAGAAAAGTCTCCAACAACACCAGAACAAGTCGCTAGATTTGACGCTAGTAGCTTTTGACAAAAAAAGTCTCCATGAGGGTTTTGGAAAGTCGCCAGATTTAGCAAGAAAGTCGGCAAATTGGCAACACTGGCACCGGCTAAATATGTCCCCAGAGCAACGTAGGACGTAACAATGGTTCCTATCACATCTAAAACCAAACAAAAATCCATCTTCATAAAAACAAGTTGTACAAATAATAATATATAAACAAGCATATTAAAGCTACTGCAGATGTACAAACAAACGCATTTAACTTACCAGAGCTGCTGTTCACTATTTAAAGACAAAGTCCATCCTCCTTTCTTTGTAAACAAAGAGTTTAATCTCACAGTTGTTCAGTACATTCGTGTGTTTTAGTTCCAGTAAGAAGTCCTTCTCGATTCATGGACGCCAGTGAAGACAGTCGAGCCTCCCCAGTTGTATTTCTTGAATACGTTTTAATGCGTTTGAGGGCTGAAAATGTCCGCTCGACAGAGGCAGCAGCAATTGAGATTGTCACCGCCCAACACGTCAGGCTAGACCACTGACCAATCACGTACTTGTAGGCCAGCTAGCAGGCTCTGATAGTCAAAGAATATGCCCAACATGTCAAACTAAAGATCTGATTGGTTGAACACTGACAATCAACAATATCATCTCCATTCACTTAAACTGCAAATGGATGCACTTGTGAGTCTGCAGGCCTCGGGCCTCTGTTCTTACCTAGAGACACAGAGGTGAAATCTGATTGGATAAAAGCTCTACTTAAAACAAGCTGCACTGGAAGTAGAGCAACTGAGGAAGACAGTAGCTGTGCAATGAGAGAATAAGATAATGGGAAAATAATAATACATGTGTATTTATGAAAAATTATTAAATTATAAACTATAACTTTGTGATTGTGTCAGGGCCAGCAGAGAAGGCCTTGCAGGCCCTGACGGCCCACCACTGCTCAAGCAATAACTAGAAACGTTTGATAAACATTTAAACTATCTATAGTTCTGACAGTTACGTCAATATCTTGAAGTGCAGCACTGCTCTTGTTTTGACTTGAGACTCTCCGATTTGGATCGCATCTCCCTCTTGTTCACACTTTGTGAAGTAGATTTGGTGAATTTCATTCTTACTGTTGCCCTCCGTAGACCCTGGATACACATCTATTCTTCAGTAGACTATTTGAATTTGTCTGACCATGTATTCTTAATCTCACCTAGCAATCTTTTTGTCATCTCAAACAGTCGGCATCAGGTTTTCCGTCATCCGTTATATTATTTTTGTTAACGTGTCTTGGCAGAAAAGAACAATGTGTACATTGACTGGACCTACAGTATAGCAAGTAATTTGCTTTTATTTATATTTTAAATTGAAATGTCTGATAGAAATACATTAACTGGCAACAGTCTAGAAATGTCTTACATAAACATGCGCAGTATGAATATGTTTGACCTGCCACAGTGACTAGTGAAAAACACACAACAGGCCTATAGCAATCTTGCTCAGGGCCCAGGAACTGGAATGCATAATAATATACAGCTATCATCAGTCACAGCTGTGCTTTTCCTGCTACAATATAAAATGTCTACAGTGAAAGGGTCTAAATCATTCAAGAGATGAATCAGCTGAATCATTTATGGCTTTATTATATAAAAGAACGGTTATGCATCCAAATTATAGAAAGTTATTTTCTAAACCCTTGCAGTATTATGCACATAAAGTGTAATTCATACAAGTATTTAGCTGCAGATGATTGGCTGTTGTGATGCCACATTTCATTAAATAGAGAAAAAAAAAAACAGATGAGATAACAGCTCCCATCAGAGAACAACCTCCTGAAGAAAAGGGAGGGCAACAAGAAACAATTCAACTCAAAAATGTAACTTTGTACATGTAGTGGAGAAGGAAACATGGCTGAAAGGGCATTTTATTATTATTCGTCCACTGAAGCAGACAGTAAGTAGTCCAAATGGTTTTAGTCTTCAATCATATCAGATTTGATTAACACCAAACATTATGGTGGAAATTTGAGTCTTGGAGCAGACGGGGACTCAGCAGTCTAGTGACACGCATACACTCCATTTGCAGATATAATACCCAAATGAGCAAGCTGGATAGTGACAGGTGTAGCTGAGAATTGTGGGCCTTATTCACAGGAGGAGACTTTAATCCTCACACTACTTTGTCCTGATCTCCAACTCACCATGAACGCAACACTCCCCAAAACACAACATGAAAACAGCATGAAGGACGAGCGTAGAAAAAACTTAATTTGAAGATGTTTGGTATTCACCACTCAATTAAAGCCATTCTTTCTTTCTTCCTTCCTTTCTTTCTTTTACACTCTACATTTTTATAACAAAAAACTAAAACAGCATACAGAAGATGCTAATTCAGAAAGAGGGCTAGATAATACGTTAACATAGCTGTGGGTCAACTGTGTGGAGGTTTAGCTACCATATCACAACTGACTAAGACACATCCTCCCTGTCGGGGTATGTCTTCATGTAGACCTCAACCATTGAGTCCAGGTCAAACACAACATCATAGTTCATGTTCAAAAGAGCGAGACTTTTTGATTTGAATTTGTCAGGCGTGTTCTCCATGTACATCTGGAAGCGCTTGTATGCCACATTGCAGCCGTCCTCCAGAGCCAAGGTTGGCACGATGCCGACCAGCCTCAGCACCGCAAGCATGTTTGGGAAGAACTTCACATCGGCCAGCTGCAGCGTCTCACACAGACTGGACGGGAAGGTCTCGCCTTTGCCCTTTTTGCTCCATTTAACCCACCAGCAGTGCAGCTCGGCGGAGAGGGTTCCTGCATTGGGGATGTCGCTTTTAAACACTTGCACACTCTCTTCCTCGGGTTTCGTGGACTTGTTCTGCTCTATGAGAGTGGGGACCAGTGACAGACATCTCAGAACCTTCAGGTGGTCCTCGCAGAAGATTTCAGTCATTTCTTTGATGACGTGCTCCACCACGGGAACGGACAGGTGCTCCCTGTAGTGACTCTCCGGCAGTATGGCTCCAGCCTCTAACTGGTGCTTTCTCAGGAATGACCGCGGAACCTTGACTGGGATCTCCATCGCAGCGGCTAAGTTGACGGCCTCATCGTTCCAGAACTCATGATACACGTCGATGTTGTCAGACACTTCCTTCAGGGTGTGCAATACAGCTTTTAAACTGGTTGTAGCAAAGTGGGCATCTGCTGTTGGCCCTTGCAAGTTCTTCCCAAAGGCGTGCGTCAGTGTCAGGGCGTTTTTCAGCACAACCAGCGCCATGACAAATTCAAAATCAGCCAGTGCTTTTGAAATCTCTAAGGCGTTGTGTGTGACTTGATCGTTCCACCTCATGTCCTCATTGTCGTGAACGCTGTCCACGCAGAGTAGTAACGCCTCCAGGATTTCCACAGCCACCTCAAACGCATCATGTCGCTTGGTCCAGCTGGTTCCACAGATCTCCTTCAGTTCCTTTGCCTTCTCCTCTTTGTCCGGGTAGAAAATCGTAATGGCGTGCTCCAACTCCAACACCAGTAAAGGGGACTGACTGAAGAAAGCCTCGATCTTCTTAAAGGTGGACAAGACAAGCTGAACCCCTGACAAAGCCATGCCATTTGCCAGGGACAGGTTCAATGTACGAGAAGATCTTTGTGTAAGCACCACCGTAGGAAACCTCTCCGTCAGTTTGGCAGCAAATGTTTTCATTTTACCAAAATGTGTCCCAGAGCAGGAGTGGGCTTGGCCTCGACACTGCTCCATATCCAAGCCCCATTTTTCAGTAATTTCAGACAGCAGTGTCTCTGCTAAGGCATCTCCGTCTCCTTCAAAGGACAAGAATCCAACAAACCTCTCCCGCTGGCAGTTAGACTGATCCACGTAACGGAGAAAGACAGGGAGGAACCATTCTCCCGAGATCTTCACCAAGTCGTCAGTAAGTAATGAGAAATGGCCATTTTGTCGAACCTCCTCCACCAACTTACTGCGGATGCATTTCTCGCACACCTCAATCAACTGGTTCAGCAGAGCCGGGGCGCAGCACTCCTGGTTCACGTCGTGCCTCTTCTTGAGGACTTCATCTCCGCAATTCATGCGATATTCCAACAATGCCTGAAAGTTGCTTGACCCCAGGCCATCCTGTTTGTCGTCCCCAGGCCCCGTCGGAGGAATGCTTTGCTCTCCCAGCAGTACAAGAACTTCAAATAACGACTTGAGATACTCTTTGTGTTCGTCTTCCTCTGGGAGTGTCTGGACATCTGTCTCAGCGGTGTCTGCTTCAGACTTCTTGGTTTCTAAAAAGGGAAAGAGAAATGATTGCAAGACGGAAACCAAATCAATTATGTGACCAACGATGAAGTCATTTTTTTCACCGTCAAGTAATAAGCATGTGTGCGCGTTGATATTTACTTACTTTTTCTCCCCTTGCTGTCCTTTTCATCATCTTTGGTCTGCAATAATAAATAGTCAAATAAAAAAAATGTGATTACATACAAACTATAAAAATCAAATCATACAAATTATTTCACCCCATTTAAATCAATTAAGATTTTTTTTACTCACCGTCTCTTTACTGCGCTTCACCGGTCCATTCTGAGGTTGGCTCGGTACATCAAAGATAGTTGGTATGGCATCATCTTTCAACACTGTACTCTGAGCATTCTGAAAGCAAAGTTAAGCCAGAAAGGTTCATTTTACATCACCTATGACAAATTTGACTTATGTTGAACCTGTATTAAAACCTATGTACCTACATATTCATGAAGCACTACATAACATGATCTATTAATTGAATAATTTGTGAAATAATATGCAAGGCTGGATTAACTTCTTTTCACATTTGACTTTAAGTTTGGCAATTCCATTAAAAGTTCTGCTATGTCTGGAGTCACATTGTCCTCTGCAATTCCATCAAAAAAAGCAGATGTAACTTGCAAACATAACTTACCCTTTCGACCATAGATGTTTCAAAATGTTTTCCACAAAGTCTGTAGTATCTGTACAGCTGGCCGGGTGACTTGTCTATGATGTCTTGCTTCTGGCATTTTTCAACCCACTTCTTGGACCTGAAAGGAGAAGTTAAACCAACATGAAAAGCAAGTTTAAAGGTCAATGGAACTTTTTAGCTTTGAGATTCAGTATTGGTTCAGTGTGCTATGTCCATTCAACAACCGCAACATGCTGCCCTCTTCCCCCCCTCATCTTTAATTACTAGTAACTAAGAATCTAATGGTCAACAACACCTCAAAAGACAAAAGCATAGAACGTATTTAAATAAATCCTAAAACTGAATGGCTGGACACTCATCTCTGGTTAGTAGGGAATGATGTTCCTTTAACTGAGGGTAGCATGAGCTATTATAAACCACACCACCTGTTGACTGTTACACAAGTTCCAATGTGTTAACAATAAGTGACTCTTTTGTTTGATTCACAAATGCATGTTCCTGTGGATGCAATGAATATGCAACGTATGGATGGACACAGACGCCTATTGTGTAGTGAAATACACCAACAAGTAAAGTCACTAAAGCAGCCAAGTAGAGACGAATACAATCATACACCAGTAGTTTTGCAAAGTGTCCTAATTGATTTTTTTAGGGCAGACATTTTGACTTGTTATGGCAGAAAGAGACAATGTGAAAGGCATGTCATTCACGATGGCTTTGTTCCTTGAAGTGTACCAATAATCCAAGCTAGTCAGCCAGCATTCACGATACGACGACCCATTACCCAGCTCACCTAACTGGTTACCGTTGTTGTCAATGTTATTAATCACACCTGTGCGTTTCCTGCTAGGGAGAAGGTCTACCAAATGTTATGGACATGCCCTTCCAGGATATTAGGTCGGCATCCGCTGCAGATGTTGGAATTAGAGCATAACTACATGCAACTGCAGAAATAGTTTGTGTTAAATGAGTAGTATTTTTTAACACCAGCGTTTTCCAAATTGCCAAACTTCTTATGATGTGCCTCCTACGTTTAGCAAGAAGCAAGCGCACATGAGCCTGGGGAACTTTTGAATTGAATATGCGTGTTGAAAAATAAATAGCGACTTCTTTATATTTTGTAATATGTTTAATAAACGATGAGCAACAGGGCAAATGCATTAAATGTTGAACAAAACTTCCATAAGTCAACCAAAGTTGCCCTCGATTTCAAATGCATGCCAAGTCGTATTTTACGTAGGATTACAAACAAACACGCCGTTTGGGGTAACGTAAGTTAGCTTGAGAGCTTCCTGTTTGCTTTAGCATCTTTAGCAATAGTTACCTTTCTGGATCATGCGGGAACCTGAAGAGTGGCTGAGGGTCGGATTTACCACTAGTACAGTTCGGCACAGTGCAGCGGTTCTGCATTATACGTTTAAGAATATATTCGGGTTTTTTTTGCGGTGAAACCCTTGTCAGGGTAGCCTACTATGTTGCTAACGCTAGTTAGCTGTCAAGTATGATACGTCTAATAGCAGTATCCGTTTTATTTCTTTCAAAGTAAAGTACGTGTTATTTGGACAACTAAATATAGAACTTCATAATGTAAAAACTCACTTCCTTCTTTTGCTAAATATTCCAAGGTATGACATTTCATTAGTCATAACCCCCCTAAAAATGTTCCTATGCCAACTAGTCTGTTAGGTTGTCACGCTTGTATGGCAAAAACATAAGTTATAGTTATGCTGGCTACCGAACAAGTCCAAATGATCGCTATTGTTTTGTCCTTTTTATAAGCAGCCTACAATTGTTCTTGGACGACAAAGATAAATAATATGGTGCATACATGTTTTGTGATTTGTAACTTGATTTTATTTTGAAGGGTGCTCGCTTGCTTGTTAAAACAAATTAGTGAGGCTTGATGTATTTAACAACGTGCACCAAATGGCGCGCTGCACTTCTTTCCCATAATCCTTAGCAGTGTTTTCGAAGCTCAAAGGTTCAAATCATGCTGAACCGTCTCTGCCATGGTGCATTTCCAAATTCACATCATACGTGCGTTTTGTGAAGTTTGAGTCATAATGAATAACACGCACACAGTCATTCACACTTATTGCAATCATTCAAATACAAGCCTTTGCATTGTTTTCACTTGTGCAGAAAATATTGATCTTACAGATATTTTATTTATTCAATATATTCTATCATGTGTTGATAACTTTGTAATTCTCTTTTTCTTCAGGCAACAATCTGGGACATCATCTTTTTTTAAATCCAGAATATTAAAGTAAAATGTCTGGTAAAAACCTGGTTGTCCCTGCTGCATGGACACTGTCTGCAGGCTGCAGGCTTCCTGTCTCTCTCTGCCCGGCCTGCACTGACTCTCCTTTCTCTCCAGTAGTCGTAGTCTCGCAGGTGGATCGGCTATAAAACACTCACATGTTAGAATGAGGCTTCACAAGTACAGGAAATGCAACAAACACCACTGAAGGATGTGAACTTCATGTCACAATGTTCTGCAGTACAATTAAAAATGTCCCCTGAAAGATGGCATTAGTTTTCACAACCATGTTGCCTGTTAGTCCTGTCAACACATGGAGTTCTGTTGTTCTCTAAAATGTCCCCATAAAAGGGTCATAATAACCTGCCAGGGGGCCCGGAGACAAAAACGTGCTACTGGTCCTCTATTAACCTCTGATCTTCACACACTGATGAGTGTGTTCAGTTTATTTGTGCTCCTGTATCACCTGGACCCAGATTTGCTGGTTTCTGGGTTTGAGGAACACTAATGAAGCTACCATGTACAGTGGTCTGTGTGCTCTGTACTTGATGGGGACTTCACTTAGGCAGCAGGTTCATAATCATGCAGAGAGGACGGGAAGTGGGGGTCATGAGTCGGGGTCCAGCAGTAATCTTTTTCTCTCAACAGGTTCATCTGACTGCATGAGCTTTATACAGAAATCCTGCTGAAGTATTTCATTAATTACATTTTATTCGGTCAACAAATGTCACCTTCCCTTGTTTCCATCACTATGATCCCTATTTGGAGAAGCGCCGCTCCTTCAGGACGTCGTAGCAGACCTCCACCACCTGAGGGCGCTGCAGAACAAGACTTGTCAGGGAGAGAAGAGTTGAAGCAAAATCTGAACAGAAGAGGATTGAGAGCAGATGCATACCTACCTTGATGAAGGATTTCAGTGGAAGAACCCTTTAATGACCTCTTAACATTCATATCTGCAGACCTGATGGCTCGTTGTAAAACTAGAGACTCGTGATTCTTTTTAATGATCTACTTAATTCACGTTCTAAAGAGCCAAAGAGCCTTTTCACAGCAGACATGTTGAGTGCTCACAGTGTCTGATCTTAGTAGGAAGAGAACAGGCATTACTGACATTAACATGGCTGTGTTTTGTTCAAGTGTCCCAGAGAGCCATCATTCACTGTCTTCTGTGTAAAAGGTCCATCAAGTCAAAACCATTATGGTCAGAGCAACTGATGTGGTCTAAAGAGTGAGATAGTCCACACAGGGTGTGCAGGTGTGAGGGGGGTCAACGGGTTGAATAAACACAGGGCTTTTGTCCAAGTGGCCGCTGTTTGAGTCCCGTACAAAACTAAAAGTAAATGTTCACATTTTTTCACGTCGGTCATTAGTTATGTGAGACTAGACACTAACAACTGGTCACGTGACTTGTTTGTCCCCCGCTAGTCATGTGAGCTGATAGTATAGCATGTTGAATAAAAATCATAGTATGTCGAATAAAGTCACAGTATAGCATGATGAATAAAGTCATAGTATAGCATGATGAATAAAGTCATAGTATAGCATGATGAATAAAGTCACAGTATAGCATGTTGAATAAAGTCACAGTATAGCATGTCAAATAAAGTCATAGTATAGCATGTCGAATAAAGTCAGTAAAATGAAAATTGGGTAATCTTTTCTTCCAATCAGAGCAGTGAAACGTGCCATGCAAACAAAAAAATAATTAATAGAAAGACTCATTATTTCTCTTGATATTATATTTGATGTTTATGGTTAATTTGCAACCTCCTAGTTGTATGCATCATGTATTTACTTATTTATGTCATTTAAGAACTAAACATACCTACACAGAGGAGTGAGCATGTGTTGATCACGAGGCAATAAATAATGACAGTTGTAAAATAAAGAGATGTTTTGTTTATTCTTATTAAACATTATACATAATTATACTATCTCGTTGATTTATTTGTCACACTTAAATCCTGAATTGAATGGTTCAACAGAAGAGGTCAAAGGGCCAAGATGAGAAGATATAATGTTGGTCAAATGCTGTGGTCCAAATATAATGACTTCAGTTTTATTACCATTGAGATACAGAAAGTTTGACTCTACAATATTTTCAATTTGTTTCCTAATCTCACAAGACAAGAGCAAAAACCAGATTCATTGGTTCTCTTTTCTTCTTTGCCACCATGTTACCCGTCTCGTGACCCCTCAGATTAATCTCTGGAGCTCCAGGGGGACGCAGACCATCACATTTGTTACTATTTTGAAAATAGTCAAACTTAAGTTATCACTGATGGTGTTCATTTTAGTTCCACCTCGAAGACAGATTTTAGGTCAGCTTCTGGAATGCACAGAATTAGAACAATTTTATTTCAAAGAGAAAACCATTATTAAAGATTAAAACCTTATTATAGGGAAGGGGATAGTTACTTGGCCAAAGAGGGATGCCCAAAAAAACTGTCCACAGACCTTTTGCTTGATGCATCAGTGGCTGCAGACTGGTATGAACAAGAGGTGGGCTCAATGACACAAGTGTCACACTTTGACAGCAACAGGACCAGGAAGCTGCAGAGAGGGAATTTGCTCTGCAGTGCCCAGAAGTGAGTGTACTGCTGGACCATGCTGTCAATAATCTGCCACAAATTTTTAAAGATGGACTCAAATGTTGAAATGTCAACATTTTTTATTTTATCTCATTTATCTACTTGTAAATAGATCAAATATATAATGTGAAATGGACACATTGCATTGTGATTACATTCCTGTATTGGACTTGTACTGAGGATGGATTCAGTCCTCTCTCTGACCCCGGACACTTCACTGATGATAATCATTTTTGGACAGTGCTGTGTTTTGGAACAGCTCTTGTAAGCCAAAGCTGTGACGATTGAAATCATGTGAGCAGATTAACTGCAGACAGAAGAATCAGAAGACTTGAGATACAGCAATACAAGTCAAATACAGGAATGTAATCACAATGCAACTATTTCTGAAGGTTTCTGCTTTTAGGGAAGTATTAAACTTGTGCTTGACATTAACTCATATAGTCAACTCCTACAACAGTGTTCACACACAAGCACAGTGAGAAATCATTCTTGAGACCAAATTGCTTACATTATGATGACATGATTTTGTCAGAGGTGCTAAGATGCTGACAACAGAGTTACAACAGAACAGGTTAGAGGTTAATGATGATGCAGTTATGATATAGTAATGAAGGTAAAAATGGGAAGCACATGTGGTGCTATGACTGGGTGGTACCTGAAACAAGGTCCACTGAAGGCTGTTTAATCAGAATAAACCAAATGTCTCTTTATTTTTCAACTGTCATTATTTATGGCCTCGTGATCAACACATGCTCACGCTTCCATGTAGGTATGTTTAGTTTAAGAGGTTAAATTACATAAACATAACAAGTAAATACATGATGTATAGAACTAGGTTGCAAATTAACCATGAACATCAAATATCAGATAAAATAAACAGCATTAAATACATCTGTATCAATAACCTAGATAATTAGCAAATACACAGGAAAATATAACTAAATGTATGGTTTAAATACACGTATACTGCCATCTAGTGGTAGAAAGGGAAAACACTTTTACTCTTCGTGTCCTTCTACTGTATTGCATCAAACAATCCACAGATTAATTGAAAAGTTGATTATTGCTGTGTACATGGATACATTAACATTAAACCACCTGTAGTCAACTACTGTTGCAAACATACTCCCATTGGCCCAGATTTATTTATTTATATTCATTCATTTATTTTTCTTGTTACCCTTGTATGTGCTTGCATCATGGACTGTAAATAAGATTTGCTTGTACCCCTAAATCATGTAAATGTCAGGCCTGGTTAAACTGCAAACACTTGTTTGGCCGCAGTTGTAGTTATTCGGTCCCAAGAAAGTCTCACAAAGATAAACCTTCGCCATGACCACCGACATGACATTATGTGTATTTGCACGTCTTGAAAATGAAATCCAGTTGTAAGCAGCTGTTATAGACTGTAAACGGGGCAATACAACTTTAACAGGCTGCCGCGCGTTCCCGCGAACGGCAATCACTTTTTGGCACGAGGGCCGAGCCAGTATTCGTGGAATCCTATTTGGGTTCAAACTTTCAAACCAGAGAGGAAGCAAACGTGTGGATGAGAGAACGTAGTCTCCTCCCACTCTCGTTCTTAGTTTGAGACACTCCATTGGTCAATCCTATTGTCTCGCGATACTAGTGTAACCAACCGCAGCGCAGCAACCCCAACTTAAATCGAATGTTTTTCTTCTGCCGGCTGGTTAGCGACGTATTTTGCTCTTGAGTTGTGCTGCTCGGATGGACGCTCTCCTCATACTGTAACTTACGACAACGTTGGCAGCAAGGTAAGTTATCGGTTCTAACTTTACTTAAATATAGCGTTAGGTATAGATACAGCGACTACACGGGACTCGTCCTCTCGTAATATTGTATATTTCGCCTTTCAGAAATCTCCGTTGATTTAACCTGGTCGAGAGTTAACCATGGACAACGTCGCAGTTTCTAGACGAAACCACACTTTTAAGAAGGTAAGTTAGTTACGCCAATGAATATCGTATGAAGTACTACAATGAGTTTATTTTAACCCACGTTGTAATTGTATTAGGGAAACAAGGAAAATGCTCAGCCTGCATATGGAAGCAAGTCCTTCATCAGAAGAGACAAAATGTCCGCTGCTCCCTTCCAACTGACAAACGATAAAAATGAGGACCCGCGGTCAACATCTGGTGAGGCTCTAAAAAAGGCAAAGACTGTGCAGAAAGAGGGGAAAGGAGCTGCGTTTGATGTCAAACCACGTCAAACACACAGCCGGTGCTTCCTCACTGAACAGATTGTCAAACACAAAAAAATAGTTGCAGAAGCTCCAAAGCCACCGGCCCCTGGTCCGTCATCAAAATCCACTCTCGGCATGTACAAAGGCAAGATTGTCCAGTCAAAAATTGGATCCATTTGGAAGTCAACCGTCACCGTGGGCGGGGCAGACCCCAAACCATCAGCACCCAAAACAGGGGGTCAAATGGTCGGAAATGAGATGAAAAGAAGGTCCAAATCGGTTGCTGACCTGCCTGGACACGGCGTGTGGAAACCTGTGCAGACAAGGTCCAAGTCGGTGATGGATAGACCGGCTCAGGTGACCAAGCCTGCTGTCGCCAGCCGTCCTGCTGGATTCCACTCTGCTCGTCTTCCTGTCAGGACCGTCCCGACGACACTAGCCAGTACCAGCTCCAGAAACACCAAAGTGGCTCCCACCAAGGGAAGTGGGGCTCACAACACAAAGCCAAAGATTCCAGTGACAAACAAGCAGGTCAACAAACCTCTCGTCTCAAGTGCCCTCAGTCAGTACAGATATACCATGGAGACTGCTGAGGAGAGAAGGTAACGTCTTCACCCACATTCACACACTTGACATTTTCTTTGGTGCTACTGTGCATCAGAAATGTTTAAAACACATTTTTGTGTTCCCTCCTGCAGGGTGAAGCTGGCCGAGTGGCAAGCCTCCAAGGGAAAGGCCTTCAAGAGACCAGCCATGACGACCGTAGAACCCTCTAAGACCAGAGTCTCTGCGAAACCTGAAGCGGATCTCAATCCACAGCCTCAGCCGGCTATGCAGTGCAACCCCGAACCCAGACTGGAAGCCCGCAAGCCAGACTCTGAGGGAGCAGTGTTAAAAACGCACAGCCGAACCCCGGTGATCATGAACACCACTCTGGACCTGCTCGACAACTCTGACGTTGACCCGCAGGACAGCGTGGATGATGTAAGGAGACATGCAGTGTTTCTGTTTTAGATATTACAATGTTAAACAATGATCTTTTCTTTGTTTCATTCTGACAGATTGTTGTAAACCTGTGTGAGGCTTTGGAAGCCATGGAGACGCCCTCTAGATCTGATGGTAAGTCCACCAGTGGCTGTTCACTATGAGTTTGTTTTTGAAGTTTAGAGTGGTATTCATCCACTCGGGTCACTGGGTGAATGTATTCGGACTGCTGTTGTTGTAACAGGTTTCTCACACAAACGCATGTTGTTGTTGTTGTGTCCATTAGCGCTTTCACAGGGGACGGATGTGCACGAAGGAGACCAGAAGGAGGCAATGCCTCAGGATGTTGAGCAAGTGAAGGATGGAGTAGAAGAAAGTGAGGAAGATGAGGAAGGAGAAAGTGACGAAGAGTGTGTGATGGAGACTACGCCACCGATGGAGAATGCTTCAGTAATAAAGTACAGTGTGAAGACTACTCCATACCTGCAAAGGTGAGTCCATCCACTTTTTTACATCTGCAATCCTTTCAATCAGCTGTGTATTTAAACAATGGCAAAGTTCTTTCTCTTCACTTGTGACTGAAGTATTATTTCCTTCAAATGTTCCTCGTTTAGTGTCAAGAAGACAATTGAAGAGGAGGCCAGCGTGAGCCGGTCCAGGAGAAAGAACAACATCAAAGATCTGAAGTTTCTCACGCCGGTTCGCCGTTCCTGCCGCATCGAGCGAAAAGCCTCCCGCCTGCCGCCGATGCTGGTTGATCCGGATCCTTGCGTGTCGTCGCTGGCCGAGCTGCTGAAGCTGGATGACGATTCAAACGCCTACATCTACAGAAAAAACCACGCCTTCCCTAAAGATGTGCAAGGGGCTCTGTAAATGTGTGATGTGCAATTTTAAAAAACAAACTTAAATGTATGGGACTGGAGCTAATGGACACTTTATACTGATGTTTTATGTTCTTTTAATAATTGTTATTGTAATGGGAGGGAAATGTTCCTGTCTAATTGTTGTTTTTCATATGAATTTATTAGACTATCCCTAACACTATTGTTCATTTTAATATAAGTTGATGTGTATTGCCAAGTGCACTACAATAAAAGAATATTGCCTTTCCTTAAATAGTTTTGCTTTTTTACTCTTGAAATCTTCAAAGTCTTGAATGTGTCTTTATCCTAAAGCCTACATACTGTGAGACTAAAGTGTTAAGGTCCAGATCCATCAAGCTGATTTTGGGAGCACATTGAGCTCATAACTACATGCTGTAGGCTGAATTAAGCAAATCATTGCTCGGTAATGACATCGGAAACACTGAGGAAAAACAGCCACTGGATTCTACTTCATTCTGAAAGTTACATCTTTGATTCAACTAATTACTAATTCCTAAATGTAATGACTTAGCAAGTTATCCTTTCAGCAACTTTGTCACCATCTGGGGTCTCCTAGATTCCAAGGGTTAATGCCAATGTCCCCCTAAAGCCTCAAGGATGCACTGACGTCACCTGTTAAATGTTTGAGTGAGACTGAAATGGTGTCGATAGGAATGGAACAGCACTTTGCTGCAACATATCACGTTACCATGATGTCAAATTGTGCAATTGTGGGTACTTTGTTTTTACTTCCTAATTTGAATGACTGCTTCAATGACTAAATATCCTGATTTCATGTTTTTTTTTTTAGTTTAATCTTTGTGTACAACGATTGGAAATCACCGCTCGGCTTCAATCACTGATAAAACCCACAAACCAAGCCAGAACTCTAGGTGTAGTTATGGATTCAGACCTCAACCTGAACAGCCATATCAAGACAATTACAAAATCACCTGAAGAATATGTCAAGGATTAGAGGACTTATGTCTCTACAGGATTTGGAAAAACTTGTCCATGCATTTATCTTCAGTAGACTGGACTACTGTAACGGTGTGTTTACAGGTCTCTGTAAAAAGTCAGTCAGAAACCTGCAGCTCGAGTCCTCACTAAGACCAAGAAAGTGGATCACATCCCTCCAGTTCTGAGGTCTTTGCACTGGCTTCCTGCCCAACAAATAATTGACTTTAAAGTCCTGCTGTTGGTTTATAAAGCACTGAATGGTTTAGGGCCAAAACACATCTCTGATCTGCTGCTACCTTATGAACCATCCCGACCCCTTAGGTCGTCTGGGACCGGGCTACTTTCTGTTCCCAGAGTCAGAACTAAACATGGAGAAGGAGCGTTCAGTTGTTCTGCTCCACATATCTGGAACAAAGTCCCAGAAAGCTGCAGGTCTGCTGAGACCCTCAGCTCCTTTAAATCAAGACTGAAGACTTTTCTGTTTGCTACTGCCTTTAATTGAACCACATTCAATTAATATATTAATCAATTTCCTGCATTTCTGCATTTTACTACTGTATTTTATTTCTTACACTGTTTGTTTTAATGCCTGTTTTTATTGTTTCAATTAATGTTCTTAATTGTTTTTAAATCTCCTTTTCTTTTACCTTATGCTTTTAATGGTTTTATGTGAAGCACTTTGAATTACCTTGTTGAAATGTGCTATACAAATAAACTGGCCTTGCCTTACATTTAATGACAGGTTGAACAGACGTGCTGTCCTGTTTAGCACCCCATTGCAATGAATTGTCTGCATCTAATGCTGACTTATGCAAAGGGTTCATAAAGGGCTCATAGTGTTTGTGAGAGAGCCCTCAAACACTCGACGATTTAACCGTGGAATAGAACTAAAGTGTGGAGATTGGGCCATGAACTGCTCCGACTAGTTCAACTTCATGAAGTTCTCAAATGAATTGCATCAATGTTTTCTGTGCAGATGTAGAAAGAAAAGACAACATCATGTTTAATCCCACTTTAATAGACCACATTGTAAAAACCCAAAGCACTTTCTTTTGACCGCTTCACGGTGCATTACGCTTCCTGACTTCAGACTGGACATGTTGACACCAGCTCCCTCTGATCTCAGATGAGGCGTTTCATTATAACAAAAGAAAATTCACAAACCCCCCCCCCCCCCCCCCCCAAAAAAATCTCTTTGATGCAATTTTCTTCACCCCAAAACAAAAGTATAAAAAGTACTCTTTTGCCACTCATCTGCAGACCACAGGGGAAGGTGTTCAGTGCTGTGCGCTAAAAGGCTGTTTTCACCCACGTCTGAAGGTTTTATGTCCTTGAAAGACCCCGATTGTCCAGATCTTTGACCTGAAATAAAGAAAAAACAAATTTTCAATTCACTACATTGTAAGACCAAAAAAAGTGGTGAACTCTCACATGGCACCATGTTATTGCTTAATATTGATAAAAACAATTCATAAACCAAATAGTCAGAGTTCTTGATTATAATTGTTGCAGCTCTAATTCCAAGTTTAAGTTGTAAAGAAATGTAATTTACACTTCTGTTCTAATTTCCCCTCAATCTGTTATTTTACTTAACATTTCCTACATTGCCCCAAAGAAATAGTTTCAGAAGATCTGTTCCTGACCAGCAAACCAATTTGTGGTTCCCAACAGACCGATCCATAATGACGAGTCGGTCATTTTTACCTTGTATATCCTAACAAGCCAGTGCTCTGTTGTGTAGGCCTCCTCCAACACATCCAGCTCGAAGTCTTTGTTCCCGATCTCAGCGTTCCTCACTCTGTCATAACCAGGTGGTCGCTCTGCAGAGAAGATCAGAACGATCATCAGAATTACAGCACAAAAGGCTGGAGTTTCATATTATTGAGAAACTCTACAAGTTTTGACAAAAGTATGATCACACGAGAGCTGCTGTCGAGTTACTCACTGGCCTCCGTGTAGACCTGGCCGAAGCGGTAGTAGCACATCTTGTACATGAGGCAGTTGAGCAGGACGGGCGAGCCCTCGCGGTCCACTCTGAACTCTCCGGTGGGAGTGTAGTAGTCGTGCTCCTTGATGTGTTTGCCCGTGTCCGTGCTCCCGCCGATACGCACCATCCACAGAAACTTGTTGATGTCTGAGGAGAGCGGATGGATGAATTAGAGAACAAGCGGTGCTAAAAAAAAAAAAATGCTGTAGAAAATATTACGCAATATTTTTTGCCCCGCTTTATCTGCGACATTCAATGACAAATATCATTACTTTATGCAAATCACTGAAAAACAACTCCATAAAACTCAAAATACCTGTTTGGCAGCTTATTACACAGTAAACTTAAGAAAGAGGGGGACGTATACTAAGCAGTGGAGTCAGTGTGGTGGAAATATAGACCTGCTGCTTAGTGGCTTAGTGCAGAAGAGAGATATTAAAGAAGAACTTTCTTTGAATTAGCCTTCATTTAAGGAGACATCAATCATCTAAAAACACTAATTAAGGGAGGACATTTACACCTGGTAACTGAAATAAATGATATGGGGGGGGGGTCTAGTAACATTCATAGCACACTTTAAAACAAACAGACTATTAAAACCATCTATCTATAGTGAGAGTGTGTTTGTGTCGACACAGTGTTGTAAGCACTGTACCGGCTCTGAGCTACTGATAAGGGTGACGTACCATCTGAAGAATAGCCCGTCAGTCCTCCGAAGATGACCAGCACATAACTGACATCCAGCTCCCTCATAATCTCATAGGCCCTCTCCTCTGTGGATGCCATGGCCTACAGAACAAACAGCCCAGTCAGCTCAGCAGCACTCCATAAAGCATGATCCCCCCCTGAAGGTTACCCAGCTCACCTGTCCAACTCTGGAGATGTGCGTGTTGTTCCATGTGTTGTTGTCCACTAGAATGGTTCGATTTGCCATGGCAGTTATCTGGTAGCCATAATCCCACCATGACATGACTTTGGCATCCTGGAAACACAAAGTTACACGCTAATTGTTAGAGTGGAGGTTCTTACATCTAATGGTGTATAACTCATAACTCCGTCTACAGCTCAGATTATTCAAAACCCTAGTGAAGAACTCAACATCGATTTACTTGTTCTTTATTTTTTTGGGTGTGACTGACCTCAGGGGTGTTGTGGCGGAGCCAGTAGTAGGCCTCTCTGAAGTCATCGAAGATGATGCGGCTGCCGTCGCCTCCACGGGCCGACAGGACAATTGAGGGGGAGGAGTAGGCTTCGCTGGTCACCCAGGTAGAGTGGAAGGTGTATGTAATGAGGAAGAAGGCCATGACCAGAATCATCCCACTGGCAACCTGGTAGGAATACGCAGCACAGGTTGTCATCAGCTTTCACCTTTCTGTCCAACATTGCAGTTTTTAAGATTATCATATGTATTTTATGCTGTAATCTAACCTGAAAAATGTATTGGAGTAGAAGTATAAAGTAGCATACAATGTAAATACCTCAAACTGTACTTAGGTTAAAAAAAATGACAAAAATATATTCATGGTCTTTGCAACCCTATTCTAACACTAAAAAGGTAACATGTAGCTTTGTACAACATCTATTTTTTGTTATGTATCAACTCTAACTCCCGACTTGACCGAGGTCATGACCATGGAAGTATTATCGAGAGCTGGCAGAAGTGTTTTCTGTTTTGTCTGGATAAATAGTGACATCTCAATACTCTTGAGGATTATCATCACCATGCATCCTGCTGGTGCTGGATCACAATGACTACGTTTCATGTCCAAACGTGTGCACGGTATACAAAATATCAACCGACTACAGGTGACCACCCTCTAACAGCTATGACGAGTCCCTCAGGCCCCCTACCTCATTTTTGATGGGGTAGGTGGCGTCATGCTGCTTCTTGCTCTTCTTGTCCGGCCGGGTGACATCCAAATTCTTCATGTATGTGGTTAGCACCTGGGACACGCCGATCCCTGACAGGATGCACATGACTGGAGCCAGAACCAACATCAGACGCACCTGAGAAGGCAACACGCAGTATTTTTAATTTACTTTGTTATTAACCCAAATGAGGTATAAAGTAAAAACAATAATCACTTTCTTAAACACAGGTTTTTCCATGTACTTTGTTAAATGTACTTTGTTTAATGGCGTGAGTGTGCCATCTTCCGGTGACACTGTTGAAATGTCACGAATCACGAGAGCAAACAAATCAACTGCTCTCTGGAGAGTCCTTTGAGATGCGTGTACGGCACTCTACAGGACGTACCATGACAGCTGAGAAGTACATGCTGGTGACTCCATACATGATGATGAAG